ACAGTTCCCCCCCGCTGTTCTCGGCGGGGTGGGGGGGGGGGGCTGCTCATGTCCTTAGGGGGGAGACATTTTGGCACCCGTCTCCAGGGCTGGTCCATAAAGATGCTTGGCCCTGCCCCACAGGAGGGGACCCCGGCTGGCACAGGGCAGAGGTCTGTCTACAGGGGGCCCAGTGTGTGCCACACCCTAGCTCCGCCCAGGCGCACGTCGAATCTCTCCAGGATGGCCAGGGCTGCTTTATGAGGCACAGATGGACAGGGGGGAGACATTTTGGCACCCGTCTCCAGGGCTGGTCCATAAAGATGCTTGGCCCTGCCCCACAGGAGGGGACCCCGGCTGGCACAGGGCAGAGGTCTGTCTACAGGGGGCCCAGTGTGTGCCACACCCTAGCTCCGCCCAGGCGCACGTCGAATCTCTCCAGGATGGCCAGGGCTGCTTTATGAGGCACAGATGGACGGGTCAGATATTGTCCAAGAGGCTCAGGTGAGGACGGGCGGTTTGGGCAGGGGGGCCGGCGTCACGTCAGCTGCAGAGAGAGGAAGGAAATGGATGATCATTGCCCCCGAAAGGACCTACCGGCTTACTATGCTAGGGACGCTTGCCCGGTGCTGAGATGCAGCCACTTCTGGGGCGCAGCAGTCGAGGGCCGAGCCCCATAGCAGCACTGTGCATGGATCAACCACCCAGCCACCCATGGGATGGGGGCAGCGCCACGGAACAGCTGCATTAAAATGTTCCCTCGGGGCCGTTCACTAGCACAGAGATGCAGCCACCTCTGGGGTGGGAGGGAGCTGCCCCATGCCACTCCACAGGGATCGCTCACTTAGAGCTAAGCTGCAGCTGCTTCTGGGGCGGAGGTGTGGCTGCTGGTTAAGAGCAGCGTAGGACAGGGAGCACAGAAGGATCCTGAATGTAATGGCAACAGCCAGGAGAATTTATGGCGGTGGAATTAAATCGGCCGTGTCGGAATTCCCTTAGAGCTAAGCTGCAGCTGCTTCTGGGGCAGAGGTGTGGCTGCTGGTTAAGAGCAGCGTAGGACAGGGAGCACAGAAGGATCCTGAATGTAATGGCAACAGCCAGGAGAATTTATGATTCCGTCTCAGCGGTGCCAACATACACTGTACAGGAGAAGAAAGGGGAACTCACCATTTACAGCTCTTCTCGACGCCCTGATGGAAAGAAGAGAAACATCGTTAGACTCCAGGTAGACTTGGCCATCAGTCACAGGGCAGGGGCCGTCGGACAGAGCTGGGGGATATTTTTCAGCTGAAACTTTTTTGGGGAAAATCCCCCCCACAGATTTGGCAAAACTACCGTATTGTGGATTTGCACCAACATAATCAAATTCTTCATTTGGGGAAGAAAAAGAGATTTCAAAATTCATGTCAATTTTGCGGAATTGTTTCCAAAGAAAAACAAGCAGCCGTTTCCCCTGAAACTTGCGTCAGTTTCGCGGAATTGTATATTTTGGAAAACAAAATCAAATGACCCAAAGAAGAATCAGAAGGTTTCAATTTTTTTGTTAGGAAAGGACTTTTCATTGCACTAGTTTCTTTCCTTTTATTTTTAATAACATTCAGAAATAATTGTCAAATGTCATCATTGAAGCGCAAAGTTTTGTTTGACTCCAAATGCATCCTCTCCCCCATTTTTTCCTTCCCCAAACATTTAAAAAACTTTTGGTTTTCAACTCATCCCGAAACAGTAGGTTTTTAACAGTTTTAAAAAAACTTTTCCAAAGTGCTAAAAAGCATGCCAATTCAATGGAACTGTTCATTTCAGATTTTTTTTTTTAAAAAGTCGATTAAAAAAAGTAACAAAACCCACCACAAAAAAGCAAAAGCTTCAGGCTACGTCTACACTGGCACCCTTTTCCGTAAATGCTTAAAATGGAACAGTTTTCCGTTATAAGTATTTCCGGAAAAAGCGCATCTACATTGGCAGGATGCTTTTCCGGAAAAGCACTTTTTCCGGAAAAGCGTCCATGGCCAATGTAGACGCGCTTTTCCGGAAAAAAGCCCCGATTGTCATTTTCGCGATCGGGGCTTTTTTGTGGAAAAGACTACTGGGCTGTCTACACTGGCCCTTTTCCAGAACAGTTTTTCCGGAAAAGGATTTTTGCCCGAACAGGAGCAGCATAGTTTTTCCGGAAAAACACTGACAATTTTACAGTAGATTGTCAGTGCTTTTCCAGAAAAGCAAGCGGCAGTGTAGACAGCTGGCAAGTTATTTCAGAAAAGCGGCTGATTTTCCGGAATAAGTGGCCCAGTGTAGACACAGCCTCAGTGTTTCAATGTTTTGGTTGGAAATGACTTTTCAGTTAATAAATTCCCTTTCATTTTAATTACAAAAAAATCAAAACAAGTTTGAGAAACTTAAAACAACAAATAGTCTAGTAGCACTTTAAGGACTAACAAAACATGTAGAGGGTATCATGAACGTTTGTGGGCACAGCCTACTTCTTCAGATGAGCTGTGCCCATAAAAGCTCACGATCCCATCTACATGTTTTGTTAGTCTATAAAGTGCTACCAGACTATTTGTTGCTTTTTAAGTTTATCCTGTACAGGCTAACTCAGCTACCCTCTGAAGTTTGAAAAAGGTCAAGATCAAAATAAAATGCATTGCTCCACGGAGAGGCGAATTTTCTCCCCACTTATTGCTTTGCCAAACATTTGGTTTCGACTCAACCCAAAACATTTTTTGTTCACTTTTCTGAATTGTGAATGAATTACAAATTTCATTGACAAATCAGGAAAGAGATCTTGGAGTTATCGTGGACAGTTCTCTGAAAACTTCCACACAGTGTACAGCGGCAGTCAAAAAGGCAAATAGGATGCTAGGAACTATTAAGAAAGGGATAGAAAATAAGACCCAGAATATCTTGCTGCCCATGTATAAAACTATGGTACGCCCACATCTGGAATACTGTGTACAGATGTGGTCTCCTCACCTCAAAAAAGATATTTTGGCCTTGGAAAGGGTGCAGAAAAGGGCACTAAAATGATTAGGGGTTTGGAACGGGTCCCATATGAGGAGAGGTTAAAGCGACTGGGACTTTTCAGTTTAGAAAAGAGGAGACTGAGGGGGGATATGATAGAGGTCTATAAAATCATGAGTGGTGTGGAGAGGGCCGATAAAGAAAAGTTATTTATTAGTTCCCTAAATAGAAGAACTAGAGGACACCAAATGAAATTAATGGGTAGCAGGTTTAAAACTAATAAAAGAAAGTTCTTCGCACAGCTTGTAGTCAACCTGTGGAACTCCTTGCCAGAGGAGGCTGTGAAGGCTAGGACTACAACAGAGTTTAAAGAGAAGCTAGATAATTTCCTGGAGGTTAGGTCCATAAAAGGCTATTAGCCAGGGGATAAAATGGTGTCCTTGGCCGCTGTTTGTCAGAGGCTGGAAAGAGATGGCAGGAGACAAATCGCTTGATCATTGTCTTCGGTCCACCCTCTCTGGGGCACCTGGTGCTGGCCACTGTCGGCAGACAGGCTACTGGGCTAGATGGACCTTTGGTCTGACCCAGTACGGCCGTTCTTATGTTCTTATGTTCATTATTTGCCCATCCTAAGTTAGCCAAGAATGTATCTTATAATTTCTTCTCCAGGACTCGAGGAATGACCCATAGACAGGACAACTCCACCAGAGCTAGGGCTGTCTTGACCCCATCTGGCTAATCCCCATTTCTGCTGGGATTGCATTCCCCCGCCCCTACCCCCGGAAGGCTGCAACTACCCTCTCAAACCATGGAAACTCAGAGCTGCTGAAAGACCCCAGACCAGCAGCCCCTGGAGAGCAGAAATCTGTGTGTATTGCTGGGGGCACAGCTTGGGCACCCACAGGGCCAGTATCTATCACCACCCCCACAGGGGTCTCAGCACTGAGCCAGCTCAGTGGTGAAGCCTCATAACCTCTCTGGAGAAACTGAGGCACAGAGAGGGAACGTGAAGGAAGAGAATCCCTCTCACTGTAATCACTAGACCCCACTCCCCTTTGACAGCTGAAATATAACTCTCTCTCTCTTACTGAGTACTAGAGCCAAGTAAGGGCTATACCCCAGTAATTCCTCTTGCTGGGTCTGCCAGTCATGGCATATGGGTGGCTCCTAACATACCAGCTCTAGTCCCCTTGGGAAAGGTGCCCAGGGGGACTGTCAATGGGATGAGGACTGATGGGGGAGGAAGAGCTGAGCCCAAAGGAGGCTGCTGAGATATTTTACAGCTCAAATCCTGCAGGGGAATCCCCCCCTCACTCCTAGCAGTACAGGGAGAATGCAACACACCAGTGGGAGTTGGCGTTCAAGCATATTAGCAACACCTGGGCTAAGAGAGGCTATGTGATGGCCCAGAGCTCTCCTTTTCACCTGTAGAGCAAGCAGGAGTGTGGAGAGAGCATAGTTTCCTCTCATCCATCTAAGGAATCAAATTCACCCATGTGAATCCGGGGGGGGGGGGGGGGGGGGGGGCCGGGGGGACCATGCCTGGTCCAGGAGCTGCCTGAGTGGTTACCCTCCGTGGTGTCGGGTCCAATTAAATTCCTTGCCCCGGGACAGAGAGAGGTAGCTGAGGGAGGGTGAAATAAGCAGGTAGGGGAACGAGGTGAGGCAAGAGGCGCCGGGTTTCCTGGGGCCGGCCCATGCCGTGTGCAGCCGGTGATAGAGGCTGGTGCCCAGGAGGGCTGGTGGAATGCGGAGATACCGGGGTGAATTCCAGCGCGGTGAGTGGGGCAGGACCGACGCGTGCGGTGAGCACAGGCTGGCGATGAGGCAGCGAAGGATGCAGTGGGGCTCGCCGGGACAGGCTCATGGGCGGGCTGCGGTGGCTGAGGACAGATTCCCACGTGCCGGGGGCGGGGGAGGGTGAAGGAATCACGGGG